CCCCCCCCCGGCATTGTAGGGATGCGAGTTGTATGGTCTGCGGCATGCATTTGCACGAGTACCCGGCGTGCGTGACGTGGTCCACCCCCTGTGAAACAAATAGCGGAGTGATTCAGACACCGCTCAAGAGTGCCGTAGCTCCCCCGTGCCCCCCAACGCAAATCACGTCGTGAAGACGGGCCCGACTGGTTCACACATCGTATCCCCGCGTACTGCCAGCTGGCTCACGATTACCTCAGCTCACCGTCCCCCTCCCTCCGCTGGCTCGCGGTCACCGCTGGTGGGACTGAACGTTCAGAGCGAGTACCTCCACGGCTTCGTAGACGTCGATGACGAGGGCGGGAAGTACGCAGGGTACGGTGCCCTGGACAGTGGTGACGAAGAAGAGGGCGGTGATGGCGATGGCCAGGTAGCAGGAGAGTGGTCAAGAGGAGGCGTCGAGGAGGGAGGTGCGGGGGCTCCGCGAGAGGGAGGGGACGGGGTCGTTGTTGACCCCTCCCATATCGAGGTTAGTGTCCGATTTCGCACGCACGGTTAGATGAGAGGTAGCTGTGCTTCTTGGCGCGGGTGTCGCTTCCTCTGGACGTCCTGGTGTGTTTCTAATAGTTGTCATCAGCCTTGCCAAATCATCGGCTGGCCAATGAAAAGACGCGAGCATGATGTATTCCGCGATGAAAAACGCGAACACTCCTCCTAGTCAACAGGGTCCTCCGGCCGGGGGGGGGCACGGAGGGGTTGAACGATAGGGTGCAGTCGGAGACACCGTTGTTGTCCTGGTTAGTTAGATCGACCTTTGGAGAGGTCAGCGGGTATCTTTTCTCCCGGCCCGTACTATCTATCTATGTATGCATAGCTCCACAATATCAATGTTTTTCAAGTTTTGTTGATAGGCAGAGAGCAAATCTCCCACACAGACAGGACGCTTGCCTATGTTCGGAGTCTGGCCTTGTTGGCAAAGTCTTCCTCCAAAAGAATCGCGAAATCCCACGAGCACGTCTCGCCGTTAACCGCATGATGTTTTGCTCACGAAACGTTGTCTCGCGATTGGATCGCGCTTCACGTCCGTTGTATTTTCAATCTGCGATTTTCCTTTGGAGTACTGACGTAGACATGCGCAATGCACACGCGTGCACCAGGTCCGTCGAACCGATGACCAGATGACAAGTATTACCCACACCGCAGCGCGCGCCCCCCCACCACCTTGTTATCTTGTTGTGGAGTAGCTGCAGGCACGGTGGGAACAACAAGACCACTCCAGCTCGTCGTTGCCGGATGCCGGTGACGCCACCAACGCCGCCACCGCCGCCCTCCCGTCAGAACAACAGTCGGGACGTAGTTGCAACGACCAGCAGGGTGCGGCGGCACCCGAGCGAGACACGGCCCCCTCGCATGACGGAAGGAAAAAGAACGCCGAAATGTTTCCTTCGAAACCCGGGGACAGCGCGGCGAACACGCCTACTGGCGGTACCACCGCCCCCGGGGGGTCCTGCGCGGGGCAGAGCGACGGTGGTAACGGCGAGGGCGGGAGTTGTAGACGGGCTGGCGCCGCGGCGGCAGGAGAGGGGACAGGGGACGGGGAGGCAGCCTCGAAGGAGTCGGAGGAGTACCTGCTTGAGGCTGCGGGGTCGATGGTGGGGGGGATTGGGGGCGATTTGGAGGGGGACGAGGTGAGGGTTTTGCATACACGGAGCCCCCTGGGTTTTCTTTGGGCGGGGTTTGAGCAAGCGCGCGTCAGAGGTTTTCAACGGCAACACGTGGTACCCGGTCGCCAAGATTGATTACAAGGTCGGCCAAGCGTGGAAAGAAAATGTCAACAGGAACTGTTGTTGTGTCGGCCAATCGTTTCCAAAGAAAAATGCCGATAGGGACTATGAACGTCTTGCGTGGTGAAGTTGGTCAACAGGTGCCCAGCTCGCACTCGCTCGCTATTTTTGTGTCTTGAGCGTAGCCAAACGCAACGGATACGGCGGTCGCATTCTGGTGTTCGTGGCGTGTGTCTCGTTCCATGTTGCCCAGCGGTGTCTGCTTTGGCACTCAAGTTGTGCTCCTTTTGGCTCCCACCTTTGCTGTTCTGCCGCCACCTACATTAGACGGCCGCTGCTGTCCTTCCGCCATCGCGCAACTTGTCCCAGCCACTAAATCCCCTCCTTCCCGGAATATCAGGGAAGGGCTGCAATTTCTTCCACTCACGACCCCAGGTTCCCGAGCGATAGCCAGGCTATGCATACAATGCACCAATGTATCATATCTGTTCGACGAAGAATCTTTCCTTTTGTTCTCACCTGGCCTTTTGCGTCGGGGCACCGCCGGTTCTGTCCAATCTGTCCAGATGGAGCAGCTTATGGGCGAGGTTCGAAAAGCCAGGGAGCTGGGGGGTAGTGTGTCGGATGAGGAACGGCGGTCGCGGGCGGCGAACGTGGCGATGAGGCTGGCGGCTTTGCTCGGCGACCTCGGGGATCACTCCGGGGAGGATGACAGCGACAAGGAGAGATGATTGGAAGCGCTTTTGATGGTGGGGTGATGAGTTGTTTTTAAGCGCCCGTCGTACAATACGTTTTCGAGCATCCGTCTCAACACGAAGGGATGACGAGGAGAGATAGGTGCGATGAAACGTTTTGGTGCATGGGTCCGAATCATGAAGGGATAACGATGAGAGATGGGTGTAGGTTGCTGGTTGAGGGGTGATGAATTTTTTTTAAGATGTCCGTCTCATCATGAAGGGATGGCAAGGAGTGGTAGCTGTAAGTTGCTGATGATGGGTTGATGAGGCGTTTTCAAGCACCCGTCCCATAATGGTGGGATGGCAAGGAGAGGTAGCTGTAACTTGCTGACGATGAGGTCATGAGAAGTTTCAAAGCAACCGTCCCATCGTGAAGAGGCCATAAACGATCGCTTGGGAGTTAGAGTTTGTGAGACGTCTCTTTCGTGGAACAAGAACGATTCGCCGTTATGTGTTCGGGAGGAAGGGGCGGGCGATGGCGTTCCGCGACACTCGATTCAAGATCCTCGTAATACCGTGGGCTCTGTCGGTAAACACCGGCTGACTTTAGTTGGTGGATGTCTTTCGTGGTTTTCGGCGGTTGGATTTTGGTGACAAACTCTGCTGGCACGTTTGGGGGACGCATGTGCACCGCCATCTTTCCGGGACGTTATCCCCACCATCCCATTCCAGATGTGTTTGTGGCATCCCACAAGGGCCGGGTAGTGTTTGGGTGGTTGTGTTGATGGCAGTTTCGGAAAGCTGGGGGTGATTAGCTCCGAGGTGCGCGGTGACCCCGGAGTTGGTGCAAGAAAAACAACGATCCGAAATCGTTTACCATGGAAGCTGCGTATTCCATGACAGCTATGATGACCGAGCTGGCTGAACGGCTTTTGCTCGTCTCCTCTTCGATCGTACCGTGGCTGGGAGATCAATACTGTTTCGGTCCGTCATGAAACCGTTGATGGCGAATACAAAGGTGGTTGGCGCTCACCGGAAGCCGTCGCCGTTCTCGTTTTTTTTGTGGGTTTTCGTTTCCAGGCTTTGCTTTCTTTCTCAAGAGGGCTGGATCGAATGACCTGCTTGCTACCGCTTTGTTTCGTCCACGTGGCACCCGCCGCTAGAAGCTCATCTGCTTGTGTTTTTGTCAGCCGGAGATCAAACTCTGGTTGGGTAGACGAAACGGGTTTGTGTTCATGCCCTCACGAAATTTTTGATGCTCGTTAACAGCTCAGTTCGACTTTCAGACAACGTTAGAAAACCCGTTTGTCAGACTGGGTGCGAGTCATGTTTGTCAGCCTCTGCCCAAAATACTTATATTCACATGCGGTAAAATCAAATCTTCTGTTGGTGATGAAAAAATCTTTAAGGCGCTCATCTCGCCTTAAAATAGCTGTGGTCTACCGTCATAAATCGATCGTCCTTAGACTCCTTGGTCGTCCGTGTTGATTTTTTCCTGCCGTCAAGCTTGCGTCCGCTCCGACTACTGCTGCTGCAGCGAGTGAACCTTGCCGAATATACATCCCGGTCCATTCCCCATCGAAAGGCTACTCCCACGACGTTACTCCACGATATCTAATCCGTCAACACGGACGGACACCGGAACAAATCGCAACATGAGGTTTATTGCGTACATATGCCGGTGCTCTCCCCTAGGAAAGAAACTAAAGCACAGATCTATAGGCGAGGGCTTTGGCCCATGGCTCACACGAATAGATCTATAGGTGAGGGCTTGGCCCATGGCATACACGTATAGATCAATAGGTGAGAACGCTTACTACATCCACAACACTGACTACCTTATTATTATATACAACGACCACGAATAATAGTCTCTTTGTCTGCCCGCAGCAAGAGTTGGAGAAAATCCTCCTCCTCAGATTGAAGAGAGAATGACGCCTGCACGCCGAAAGCACGATCCACCCGGACCTACAATATCAGCACCTGCAGATCCAGCATGAAGACATGGGTCGGTGAGGGAGGGCGACACGAAGGCAACCGTCATTATACGCGCTCTTTCGGAGAAGAGGAACGACTCAGAGGGATAAATCGAGAGACAGACTACATTGTCGGGGAAGGGACCTCCCACTAGGGAATGTACTGGGAATGTATGTACTGGGCATGTATGATCAGCACGGCTCTCTCGCCGCAACAGCATAGTCGGAGCAGACGCAAGCTTGATGGCCAGGGGAAAATATCGTGGACCACCAACGAAAGAGTCTAAGGATAATCGATCGATCGATGGCGGTAGACCACTGCCTGTGGACGACGTCTAAGGATAATCGATCGATCGATGGCGGTAGACCACTGCCTGTGGACGACGCATATTCATGATGTTTGGAAATACAGTCCTGGCACCCGCCGGTGTTCGGTCGCGAGCTTCTCGATTGGCTTTTTCTGCACGTTCTAGAGTTTTTGAAGGAAAACACATCATGTTCTTGATGTAACTTGCTGTGGGCATTCCAAAAGTGCATACCATGGCGTATATGCCAGAACGCGGCTGTGACCCGCCCCCTCCCCCTCCTGTGTTGTGAGCCAAGCCAAGCCAAAAACACCCCAAACGAACGAACAAGCAGGGATCGATGCCTTGTCTCACTTGAAGGTCAACACCCCGATCTGGCCGTAAAAGATGTAGATCATGTTTCGTTGCTGGTAGGTGATCTCGAACCCAAACCCCTCCCCGATGGCGCAGTGCCAGGATGCCCCAAACTTCTTGTCCATCGAGTTCTTGATCAATTGCGCGGCCGCCTGCTTGGTTAATCCAGACAGAGCGACTGAGTGCAAGCGAATGGCTTCCGCATCAATCAGTTTCGAAACATTCACACAAAATTGACGGCCGCTGTGTCGGAACAGCGGCAGAAACGAACCGCCTGCCGCCGTGTTTGCCTTGACTCGAATATGTTCTAGGCGATCACCAACAACTACAAGCAGGATCACTTGTGCCTATGCAATGGGTTCTGGTGGTGCTTTGACATCCGACAGTATCACGGAACAGCTCCATCATCACGTAAGTGGGCCATCTTGCTCTGCTTTTCGGTTGCTTTGTTCTGTTCTAGGCCGTGTTGAGAGCCACCCATAAAAAAGACATCATGAAGCACACATAGTCTGTAGGAGGGCATCGGTGGGCAGACGACGACAGCTAGCTCAAAGAGTTTATCGTGAAATTGATCCCACCGACGAGTCTAATCAGGCAGTTCCCATTCATAGGCTCCCGACCTCTATGCTAGGATGGTGAAAGCTTTGTCCCCTCTGCAAAGTGCTTGTTACTCCGCGGCTCCACAACCGGGGTCCCTCAGTTGCTGTCCCGAGCCCGGCCATTCGTGGCGAATCGAGGACACTACAACCGATAAGGACTGCATTACCTCGTAGTTCTTAACGTTGATGAACTTGTCGACCGACATGGTGACAATCTCTACGGCTTCTTGAACGATCTCTGGCGGCATGTCCGAGCTCTGCTCAGTCGCCGAAGAACGAAAAGACCACGGTATTCAATGGGTGTCGTTAGCTCACGTATCGTATCGTCGCACAAATCAGATAAAATCAAATTAAGGAGTTTGGCCTCTGCGACTGTCGATAGGCTGCGGAGTTCGTACGTAAACACGGGTTCGTGACCACGCCTCGAACTACGTGTGTGCATAGACTACGCCAACGCACATTCACATGTTGTTAGCTACACTGAGACGTCAAGCGGTTGGATTAGGCAAAGCGCATCTTGCAAACCTACAGGAGTTCAGTCCTCGAAAAACGGGTCATCATTCTATGGTGACAGCGGTATACCCGTTCGTTCTGCTTGTCCCCTACACCAACAGTTTGTTTCTTTCTGCCCACATTGGGACGTCTCAAAGATGTGCATGGTCGATGATTCGGGTGGCTCACGTCATTTGGAGTCGAAAGCAAGTCCGTCACGACGGGCCGAGATGGGAAACGATTGTTGGATTTTTCGGAAGGTGCTTGTGCTCCCCATGCAATCACGGCAACGAGTCACGAATCCACGCCCACTTGGTATTGATGAATATCTCTACTGGTTACTACAAACACTGGCTCTGGCTCAATAGCCTGCATCCAACAAACAAACCAAGATATCTCGCAACCTACGGAATCTTCTCACAAATCTGAACTACATGGCCTCCTTGAACGTCTTCGGCACGCGGAGGTCGCTGGCGAAGCGGTTGGAACGCTTGAAGTCTTGTCAGGCGAGCGCTCAGCTCGAAGAACGGCGTCAAAAGTCCTCGTGGGTGCCGATTGTCGTCGCGAACACATGCGGCCTCCCGGGGTCCCCAGCCGTAACGCCCCCCACGGCTCCCATGCCCCTCCTGCCGCCGCAGGATCCAATTATTGGAGGCCACGGGAGCGGGGGGGGGCGTACGAACCNGGGGGGGGGGGGGGGGGGGGGGGGGGGGGGGGGGGGGGGGGGGGGGGGGGGGGGGGGGGGGGGGGGGGGGGCAGCCGGGGGATCCGGGAGGCAGCGGGTTTTCGCGACGACAATTGGTACCGGCGACGACGTTGACGCCGCTCTTCGCGCCGCTCCCTCTCCTGAAAAGACTCCAGACCTTCCCCACTGCCTCGCCAGCAACCTCCGCATGCCGAAGACGTGTAAGGAGGCCGTGCCGTCCCCCCGCATTCGGAGTTGTGGGCACATTCCGTTGGTCGAAAGTTTCTTTGCTGTAAGTTGGGGCTATACCCTAGTCTAACCTCTAGCTGTGCACGCGTCGTGGTACGGAAAAGTGATATGACAACAGAGTTCGTCTTGTGACCACTATTGTGGCAACAAGACTGAGAGTATAATTTCGTCAACTGCTACAGTAGATAGAAGACAGACCTGACCAGGCGTAACCAGCGCCTCCACAAAACCGCAACAACGTCAATTGCACGGGGCTGATCGTATTTTTCCGTATTCCGCAATGGGCAATAACACCCGTATTGCACACTGGCGCGATTCTAGCAGCCTCACCTCCTTGACTCGTCACTCGTAGAAGAACCCGTCGTGGTGATACGTTTGCCGGTATCTGATACATGCATGATCGATGATAAAATGGGCGACAGCTGTGCCGCCCAAATGAAAGACTGTAGACGACACAGCAATGCTACGTACAGCAGTATTTGAGGTTAGATTACGTAGAGTAGAATCCTTAGTGTATGCGTCTGAAGAGCAGATGCATCGAAATAATTTGAGTAGCATGCCTCCAAGACCTCCGTCAGAATATATCTGACCTGGTTGTTCTCTCGCTGTTAGCTGTTGGCTGCTTGTGATGTATGTACAGTAGCTCTGAGGGTAGACGACTGTAGTCTACATACCAGGTATAGGTCAATCTTCTGGTGGGCACTTGTGGAAGACTGGCTCAAAAAAGTCTTTGATTTAAGGCGTAAGTTCATCCAGGACGGGTGGGTATGTATGTGTCTATGCTCCTTTGTGAGCGTACATGTGCCGAGCTGCTGCTCGCGGTTTCTCGGTCTCTCTGCATCACCCCTCTGGTCCAGATGTTGAATGTTTACCACAACGAATACCACCATAGGAACCGGCGTCTTTGCTTTTTCATCCTCATGGAGTCGTGGTGTGTACTCTCTCTCTCTTTCTCTCTCTCTCTCTCTCTCTCACACTCTCTCTCTCCCTCTCTCTCTCTCTCTCTCTCTCTCTCTCTCTCTCTCTCTCTCTCTCCCTGCTATTCAAATCCTGGCAGGACGGTGCCCTCGCACGCAGCAGGGAGGTGGTCGTCACGCTCACCTTGATGAGGGGTTTCGAAATCACCTTCCGAAACTCGGCCTCCGATATCTCGGGCACCGTCCCCACCAGAGCCATGACGCAGCGCGCTGTCCCTGCCGAATCCTCTGACAAACAGCAATGAACGCTCTGAGCCCACAAACGCAGTGAGGGGAGTCCCGACGCGAACTCCGACCAAGTCGGAAGAAGCCGAACCGACGGTTACATTTATCCCCCCGCTTAGAGTAGCGGCGGGTATTAGCAACCACCCTGGCAACAACCACATTTTTTCAAATGGGGGTATCTCCTGGACACAGCAGTCACGGAGCCCTTAGAACTTTTCTTGACCAATAATCATCAGTGATGATCAAGTTCCCCGTTATTGTAGCTGCCGTGATACTGTCGCTACTCCATCCTCTCATAGTTTTTTTCCCCGGGATTCTGGAGAGTTGTACTGCTGGGTGAGGGCCCCGAGTCAACAGGCACAAGTGTGTGCGGTGCAACACCGCAGCAGGAGAGGGGGGTACCCCAAAAGCAATTTCGGTTCAAATGTAGCTGACGCCATTCAACAGTACTCCACGTGTAGTAGCACGTCTTGCAGCACAATTCCAAGTGCTGTACAACCGCAAGATCAGCAGCTAACATTACCAATGCTCGGTGTTGCCGGCGGCGTGGCAGAAAATAAGCATGGTGCCTGTATGTAAATGCAAGTTTTCAACTTCATCTGTGTCTATCTCTTGATTCCCGCGATCAGTCAAGTTCAACTCTTCTGAAATTTACTCTATGGTACTCAACTTTATCACCACTCACTGCTGTAGTGTGTTGTGTTGAGTGGTCTGTTGTGTTTTTTTCGTCCTATTTATTATGGCGACAGTCCCCCCATTTTTCGTGGTGAGACGTGTACTACACTTTTCAGCGCATGTAGAGTACTACACTTTTCAGTGTATTTTTTCGTACAACTACAACCATCCAGGGTCACACAGGAGGGTGTGGGAAGCGTCCTCCTTTATTTTTGTTTTGTTATATTTTGATCGGTTTCCGAGGGCTCTTTTTTTCTCGAACGGTCGGTGCGATACCTGTTCTTTTCTTTCTATCATTTTGTTTTCTTTTTCCGAGTGGTTTGTACCCTATTTTTGTTCTTTTCTTTTCTCGCGGCGTCGTATGCGCCGTGTTTTGAGACCACGGGCTCCCCATTTTTTGTAGACTAGACTATAGAGCTAATAATGTGAGAAACAACAACAACAGCAACAAAAGAGGGGGTAAACACCAGGGCTTTTTTCTTTTTTTTCTTTCTTTTCGTGCCCCACCTTCCTCCTGCGGTGCGTGCTGAATTTTATTTTTATCGCGAGAAGGGTCCAGCCGTCCCTTTCCCTCGTCAACGGTGCTAACAACGTCGAAGTTTGGTACTCACGAGAGCTTTTTTTAGCTATATTTCGCTTTCACCCGCAAGTTTCGTAAATTTTTCACCCCCATGGGGATTCGAACTCACGACCTCTGCGACTATGTACCTCTCTGAAACGAAACATCTGAAGTGACTCGTCCTCCTCGCATACCCTAAAATATCCATCGCTGCATTCCAGTGTACTAGCTTCGGAGATGCGCAATACCTAGCTACTGCCCTTACTGCATTCGTAATATCTGGCCTAGTCTGAGTCGCCAGCCACATCAAAGATCCGACTAGTTCACGAAACGGAAGGTCTGTCGCCTATTCGATAAAGGCTGACCATTTGACTACGTGCACAGTCATCGATGACTTTGCACGTAGTCAAATGGTCAGCCTCTNCGTGCGTGAATCCTTTATTCGCTAGAGGCTGACCATTTGACTACGTGCAAAGTCATCGATGAGTGTGCACGTAGTCAAATGGTCAGCCTTTATCGAATATCGCCACCTCATCCGCATCATAATCAGAAAGCTTCACCCCCGAAGACATCGGAACGCTCTTACTTCCCACTACTCCATACTTTGCTGCTAGCTCATTCGTGACAGTCTGCTGAGAAATCGTCAACCTACCGGTCTCCTCGTTCCTTTCGTAAAAGCACCCAGCATACCATCTCAACTCTCCTAGGTTCTTCACTGGCACGGACTTGTTAAGGTCGGCGCCAAATTTGTCACATCTCTCCCTCTCTCCCACAGCAAAAATGTGATCTACATGTACTACCAAAATCAAAACAACACATACATCCATCCTCAATCAAACGAAACACACAAGCATCGGCCATGCACTGCTCAAACCTAACGCCATCAAACACCTCTTCAACATTGTTGCATGCCACTGCCTTGATGCCTGTCTCAAGCCATACAGACTCTTGCCTAGTTTTACAATCATTCCAGATAGAGCTCCACATCCCTGCCGCAAACGCATGTACACGTGTTACGGCCACATGGTTACGGTTGATAGGAGTTGCACCTTTGGGATAATGCGTTGTTCCCAACAGGTACTAGCAGTAAGGTCTGGTTTGCCGGGCCCCGTCTTGAGGCTAGGATTGTTTTATGGTGTCCTTCCGTGTCTTTGCTGTAGACGAGCCGTTGATGCGCTCGTCATGCTGTAGCCGTGTGGCTTGTAGGCCCTTTCGCGTCCCTGTCTTTTTTTCTCTGCTCGCTTGCACGTTTTGGCGCGTTTTCCTTTGTTTCCTTATCATGCGCGCGCTCACCCTACAGCGGCCTGTGGCTTGTTTCAGTCCGGCGTGCACACACCATAATCGACTTCGTAAGTCGCGAGGGAAGGGATTGCTGTACCCTTCTCGCGATAAAAATACCTCAGGCATGAACCGCAGGAGGGGGTCCAACCCCCCCCTCCTATGTGACCCCGGTTGGGTCGTCTAGCCAGTAGAAGTGGAGGATAGGGGCCAGAGGGGCAGACGGCAGAGTCCAATGATGGGAGAGAAACAAACAAACAAAAAAACAACACCCTCTGCTTGTCCCTTGTAATCCTCTGCGCTGCAGCCGTTCTCCTGGACGCGCATACTAGAGTACTCGTGATTCCTGTGTTTTGTTTTTTGTGGACGCGCATTTAACACTGCTGTGCATAGCTGCCATGTGTAGTCTATGCGTCCATGCGATTCTGCAAACTTGCGTAGGGGAAGATAGACTAAATTTTAAAAGGGCGTGGTTTTTCTTGTATTTTTTCCTCTGCCCGTTGGCGCCACCGCAATTCTGTACCCGCGTGGATAGCTTGTTGCCACTGGACAGCTGAACTACCAGGTTGATAGGATCGAGTGAACACTGATGGGTCGTGTCTCTCGCACTTGCGGCCCCACAGCAGCATACTCCCCGTGCGGCAGTCAGAAACGATGATGGTGTGAAAAGTGCGTAAGGCCGATAACTCCGGGTCGACCTGCTCGCTAGTGTTGAACCTTGTGCATGTTTGGGATCATCCTCGTGACCTCTCCTCCCTGACCAGGTAAAAAAGTCTCACATTCGGCAGTAGTAACCTGTTGACCACTACTAGCTTGTGGTTTCAGAACGCTATTTTGGTGGGGTTGGGCCTCTCCTAGGTTATACCCCTCCTTCCCACCCTACTTTCTGGTACCGCGGCGTCTGACGCTCGATCGTACCTCGATTAAAGCCGTCCTGATTGCCGCACGCCTGCGGTTCTATTCATGTGTTGTAGCTATTTTCTTTCGCTGGTTGGATAGGTGTGCCGTACAAAGCATGGGGCTGTCGTTCCCACAGTGTTATATCAGCAGCTTTTTTTACTATAATTTACAAGGCATATAAAGATTATTTTATTTTTTCTTCGCGAAAGTAAACATCAAGTAACATGTGTTTGTTTTTATACAGCAGTAGAGGGTTTCAGTTTGCAGGGGTACGCTGATGCGGACTTTGCAAGCAAGGCAGCAGACCGTAGGTCGGTATCAGGGGGGATCGTCACGTGTGGAGGAGGCGCCGTGTCTTGGTTTTCCAGAACGCAGAAGTGTGTTACGCTTTCGACGACAGAAGCAGAGTACGTCGCGCTTGGTGACGTAGTGAAGGAGATCTTCTTGTTTTTGAGGCAAATTTGGCGTTTCATGTTGCCGCAGGTCGGCATGCCGTGCATCCCAGTCTTCGAGAACAACCAGGGGGCGATTCAACTAGCGCAGAACCCCATCTCAAACTCGAACTCGAAGCACATAGATGTAAGGCACCATTTTCTCACGGAACTGGTAGAGAGGAAGGAAACTTCGGTGATCCACATGCCGTCGCCATACCAGCGTGCAGATTTTCTTACGAAGAGCTTGCCGAAGGACACTTTCGAGTCTCACCGTGATTTTGTGATTGATTTGGAATGAACAGTTATTGTTTTTCTGATGGGTTGTGTCTTGGTTTGCTTTCATTTTCCGCGGCAAGTGTTCTTACGCGAGATGCAACACTCATTCATGTTTCTTTGAACGATTGTTCTTTCTCATTACATTTTGTTATTATAGTTTTGATGGCATACATTCTTGAAAAGACGTCTTTTGGTTGAGATATCGGATGTTAGCGAAGTTTGCAGTGAGAAACTGTTGCGAGCAGGGGGGATGTTAGATATACTCGCAGCAGTATCTGGTCGTGAGGATCCCAAGGGGATACGTGTTGGTAATTTCGTGTGTTGTAGGGTACCATCGGTGCAGTCACGGGGACCGTTTTAGCGCGGTTGGAACGATGAGGCTTACGTGCGTGTTGCGCACTTCTTTCTTCCTTCTCTCCTTCCACCGCTACCGCCGTCTCTCTCCAATCAAGTTTCCTTCTCCCACTCTCTCTCCACCTCTCTCTCAATCTCTCACTCTCGGCCTAACACGGCCGACTACCCAGTGCCCCAAGTAACGCCCAGGACGGGCTTGCTGCACCCCGCGTGCTTTACCTTTCAGGCAAGAACAACCAACAACTGCTGTGAATCACACCTACCTGGTTCGCCTGACAGCTCTCGCCTGAGCCGTAGCAGAGTGCAAAGAGAGCTCGCCCCCTACCGGCAACGCCGCTGTGAGCCGCAATCCACCCCCTCTACACAATGTGACCAAGCTGTTACTCGGGTATCGCCGTTTATCCTGACATCCTGAGATCGATCGGTGCCCTCGGCGCTAGGCGCCGGTATTTCCACTCCTTAAAAAGACCGCTTGGAGAAAAACTGCGGTCTACACCCGGATGGCATCTACCCGAAGGGTCGCAGAGTCTGAGCGTCCCACGGCGGGCCTGAGGTTGCAAAAGTGGAGGGACTTCTCTGTCTCGCCTGCTTCCCCTACGCCCTCGATCTTGACGGATCGATGGATCTTGACGGATCTACCCCTAATCCTTGAAAAGCAGCACCCTGAGTCCGCCACAGCGAGGCCACAGCCAAGTTGTGGAGGTACGCTGTCTGTCTGTGCGGAATCTTTCAGCACACCCACAACGCCAAGAACTTTCCCTGCTGCCAAACCATTTTGTCGGCAAGTCGGTAAGATTCAAGCACAAATATACCGCCTCCAACCAATCTCCACCTCGGATATGGCTAAACGGCCTAGGTAGACTAATGCGCATACCTAAGAATGATAATTAACAATACGGCCTGCAGTCGTGGAAGTGGTGAACCCCCCCCCTCCTCCAGTCAGCTTGATCCCTTCTACTTGTAACAAATAGCACTTCGGGTGCCGTGTGTATGTGATGGACAAGACGAGCGAACAGTAGTAGTCAGTACAAAGGCGGTTGATCATCTACAGGGCGCGATAGAACAGTTCCCGCCGAACCGTCGTTACGCACGTTTTGGGTGGTGCTCCGAATACGTACAATATGCAACAAAGATCATTATGGTTCAACGAATACTGTATCTCGTTCTGATGCAACCGATGGCACGCGCTCTTGCGTCGTGCTGACGTCATCAAACTTCGACCGTTCGTGAAAAACGACCACGGAGTGTGGGGTGTAGAAGAGACACATTCATGTGGCTAAGACACCTCTGGCGTTCTCGACGTATTATATATAGCACTGCATTTGTGTTGGTCGGCGATCCTCACGGTTTTGCTGCGAAATGCATGAATCTCCGTGAAACAAAATTTAGGTCCCAACGCCACCCCCTCCGGGGAGAGAGCGATACAGCAGTCTGTGTGAAGAGAAATTAACGTGGTCCTAGATATCTACAGCAGTAGTACAAAATCGTTTTTCACACCCACCCGTCGTGTTTCAAGGGGGGGGNTCCCTAGTCTGTCTATCCTAACGATATCCCTTCCCGCCTGTTCAACCCACCTCCTATGCCCGAGTAAACTACCGTCCTTTCCTCTCTGTTCCATGCCTCAAACATCTCCCTGTACATCTCATCTATTTTTCCCAGCCCAGTCACGTACACTTCCCTCTCCTTCTTGTACCACGGACATTCCGCGACTACATGAACACGGTCTTCGCATTCGAAGCCGCAATCACATTTGATCTCTTCGTCTTCGTCGTCGACCGTCCTATGCCTTCGTCGACGTTCTCGAAGGCCTATGTCCCCGGTCCTGAATTTGACCTTAAGCTTTGTTCCTGCATCCATTGGTCCATGTAGGTACTCCTTGAACCCTATAATATTCCTTCCTTCAACGTTCCGTACACTTCTAGACCCTCCTTATCCATGGTTTCTTTCCTTAGATTCGTGTTTCAAGGGGGGAACGAGAAAACTGTTCAGCAACGTTACGATTATTGGCGTCCTTTGCCTCCTTTCCATCGAAGACTGTCTCCGACCAAAAAACAACAAGAAGCTGTGTAGAATCCTTCACCCCAACCCTACAACCCTACTACGTCGGATTCGGGTCTCATTTAGTACAGTTCGCCCTTTCAAAGTTGGCGTTTCACAATCAGTGAGCCAATCGACGACACAAACAATGTCAATTGAAGTCGACCTTTCGATCAACCAATCAAATGATATCGAGCACTCCAAACTCGATTTGTTACTAGTCAAGCCATTACGAAGAAACGCGACTGGCCGGCGCTGTGGTTACCTACCTGTGGCCGGAAGTACGGTTCCGGAAAGTCTGCCTGTCATGTCCACCAAACATCATGTCCATCAAACACTGTCATGTCCATCAAACACTGCCATGTCTATCAAACATTACTGTCTCTACCCGGGACGCGGCTCCTGCGACACAGATGGTACAGCAGCAAGCCTCGGCATCATGCCCCCCAAACGATCCTGGATCAACCGTGGTCCCGCGCGTTCACACGCCATCATCGCACACGGGGGCTGACTGGCAACCAAATCATGCACTTCAGGCATCGTGTGATTCTTAGATAGCGCGCACGCCAGACTCTCGTGGGTACGGCACGTAGGGAAACAAAGTCACCCCCGTACATGGAGTCATCACGTCAAAGATCTACCACACGAAAACAACGAAAAATGTCGATAGGTCATATCAACAGAAAAAATATACGGTTCGCAGAAACAACAAATCGTTTCCACACTCGACATGTTGCGAGCGGGCACATGCGAGCCGCGCAACAAGGTCAACACGTTTGGCACCGTCGCTTTCCCTCCCAACCCCATTGACAACAAACACAACTAGAGGCCTATCTAGCTTTCTACATGACAAGATTAGAAGAAGCCTATCTAGCGTTTACATACGAACGCACACCCCAGATTAACCGGCCTTACGGGCGCAACAAAGTGTGTCGAGGGGTAGCGGCCTCATCACTAACTGGCCGATCAATCGTCCAACCAGTAAACTTTGATCTGTCAACAATTCCCCTGTCGGTTCCGCCTCCATCAAACCCAACACAAACCGCATCTATTTGTAGACGAACAACCAGAATTCGCAAACCATGTTATTGTAAGACAAAACAAAACAAGAAAGCGACTAGCGACCGGACCATTCAATCGACTCAAAAAATAACCAGCCAAATAACATCAGCTTGAGCTGTCGGGGTCGCTACATTTTTTGACAACAAAACAACCGACAGAACAACGTAAAGCATGAGCATTATTAGCTGTCCGGGGCAGGCTCCGGGTCAGAAATGATGCACCGCAGCAAGCGGTAAGGGCTGGCGCGGAGTTGCGACTCGTCGTCCAACGCACGCGCAAGGGACGCGTGGGCGTCGCTCCAGGCCCTCTGGATCTGGTACACGCGGAAGCAGTTGTGGCCCACGTTGTTGCTCAGGTTCATCGGGTCCTCGATGAAGAGAGGGTCGAACCTTGCAATGGTCATTCAGGCGAAGGGAGGGGGGGGGGGGGGGGNNNNGGGGGGGGGGGGGGGGGGGGGGGGGGGGGGGGGGGGGGGGGGGGGGGGGGGGGGGGGGATACTCATGTCATCGTCGGTAGGCCATCGACCTCGCATCCGCACAATGTCGGGACGGGGCGAAATGCCGGGTTTCCACCGACCCAGACTACGTTTTCAAAGGATGAACCAGAAGCTGGTTGTCATCCTTGCGATTGCTGTGCCACACGAGATATGCCGTGGTGTGATTGGGCTTCCTGGCCAACCAAACGGTGGAGGGGGGGGGGGGGGGGGGGGTGTACTCANGGGGGGGGGGGGGGGGGGGGGGGGACCCGGTGAGAAATGACGGGGTCCGTCACTCGATGAGAAACTTGGTGTCTACATGTGCTCACAAAGCGTTCCAGCGGAGGGCCTTTGTTGTAGTATCCTCAGAGGCGTTCGCCACCCTTAACCAAACCCTTCGTCGTGAACAGGGTACTGCTGTTCTGCTTGGCAGTTACGGGGAGGCGCATGTCGTCCCTCAAGGCAGCGTCTCCGCTCAAGCCACCGTGAGCTTGGTCCAATACTAACGGTCGCGCTTGGCGCTACTGCTGTACCACGCTAGCTGTACGACAAGAAAGGGTGCAGGTCGCCCTCACTGCTGGCGGGGGTTTTCTCACCGGTATGGCATTCTCATCATGTCGCCCCACCCGGGGATGCCGGCGGCCACGGGCGGCGCTCCCGGAGGCGCCACTCCACCCAAACCTCCCTGGAAAGATGGAGGTCGGCCCCTCTGCTCGACCCGTCAAGAGAGAGCAGCAAACGAGGGTGGGAGGCGTACGTACGCGAATTCAACACACGAACGAGAGGAGAGGGTAGGCAAGGAATACCAGGTCGCCAAAATAGAAATAACAAGGGGCATCGAACACGCGGAAGAAAGAGAATTAAGGCTTTCGTTCGAAGAAGAGACTGAGGGCTTTCGTTTGTGGGTCAAGGGGGGGGTCGGTAGTCTCTGGAGAGCATATCACGGAACGGCATGGTGTAACCTCCTCTGTCTCTGCGTCTGCTGTCTCGCTCGCGCGTTGCACTAGCCCGGTTTCCGTGGCAAGCGGTGGCGGTAGGGACAGGCAGCAAACTGCGCCACACCTGGAAGCCATATATCCGCCCATACAACAGTTGAGACCCCGGCCAAGCCGCGAACCCCTGATTGGTGACATGCCCTGCACAGCGACCACAATAATCGCATGGCGCCACAACTGCACCCCCGCTGTGCATACCGGCAACAGCGACCTGCCCCAAATAGTCATCATCATATCCCCTCCCGACATGTATCTAATGTTGTTGTCATCACATTTCAAACCGTTCCGATCTCTCTATCCAGTACCTCCCTCTGTCCGTACTAGCCTTACACTTGACGCGGTCGATTCCCGTGGTAACAGGCTAACTTATCTCAGAACAAGGTACATACACTCATATAAATTCGACCCGAAGGGTAGGGCCGCTAAACCGGCCCACTCAACCAAAAATGAACAACCAACGAAAACGTACCTGGCCGTAGAACATCCGCGCAGCGCTGGGGGCCCCGGGAACCGCCGCCGCCACCTGAGTGGGGGGCGCGGGCAGGGGCGCGCTCCTGGAGAAGTAACGGCTGCGGCCGACGCTGATGCCGGTTAGTCGGGGATCGAAGTGGTTGCCGTAGAAGTCTAGGAAGCCGAGCAGGAGAGAGCCCGAGTCCATCTGACTGGTCTGCTCTTGAAGATACCTATTTGGTGGCGTCGTTTGATTGTTTTTCGTTTCGAGGTGATGACAACAGTCCGGCGGTTGCCGTGGGCGTCGTCGAAAGGATTGACCAAGACGGGGCGCAGAAAACG